AGAAATGAAAGCTTTATTTAAAGGTCAAAACATTCACCACTTCTCAACATACTCGAACAAGAAAGCTTCTATCATTGAAAGATTCAATAGAACTCTAAAAGAAAAAATGTGGAAAATGTTCACTCATCAAGGTGATCATAAATGGGTAAATATTCTGGATAAGCTTGTTACAGGATACAATGACCACCATCACCGCAGCATAAACATGTCTCCTATTGAAGCATCCAAGAAAGACAACGCTGAGCAAGTTTATGAAACTTTATTTCCCTCAACCGGAAAAGAAATGTTTAAAAATGAAAGTCCTATAAGAAGCAAGTTTAAAATAGATGATACGGTTAGAATAACAAAGTATAAAGCTGTATTTGCTAAAGGTTATCTACCTAACTGGAGCACAGAAATGTTTAAAATTTCAAAAGTTCATCCCGGAGACGTTACTACTTATTCTATCAGAGATCTAGCAGACGAAGAAATCACAGGAAAATTTTATGAGGAAGAACTCACACTCTACAACAATGTAAAAGATGAACATAAAATCGAAAATATTATTAAACGTAGAACTAGAAAAGGTGTGAAGGAATTGTTTGTCAAATGGTATGGTTATCCCGATAAGTTCAATTCTTGGATCCCTGACACTAATCTCAATTAAACACTTACTACTTTGACTCTATTATCTTTAATTTCAACAATATTTTCACTCATAATCAAACAATAACATTTTGTGTTTTGTACAATACTCTTTGAAAAGGAAGCTTTGATTGTGACATCAGGTCTTGATTGAATAATTCTATCATTCTGTTTGGATACATCAAATACTAACAGAGGGTAGTAGTAATAATATACATCTTCCTCCATAAAAATATAATCCTTTGTCGATTCATAGTAACTGTTTCTAAACTCTTTAGCAAAATTGTATTGTTGTACAGCATTAAACTTATCAAAATCAAATTTCAAACAGTCATGAGGATATCTCTCTGAATTTAATTCAACATAAATTTCTTCTAATCCACAATTGTCAAATTTACTAGCATTCAGATATTGTTATCCCTAGCACATTGAAATGCTACTACAATATATTTTATTTTGTCATATTTTGTACCCATCTTCCATGTGAATTCCCTATTACCATTAGGGATATTATAGCTTTCGAATTGTCTAGAAATGAAAGGCATTTGTACTAACTTACTGCTTTCGAAAATATTCAATAATTTATTCTGCATTTCAAGACTAGGGACAATCTTTGGAATAATCCATTGTAATCTTTTGATGTTCATCTTCGCTGTAAATTTTGTAGCATCTGACGATACAATGCTATTTTTATTTTCAGGAGATCTGTAGAGTGATAACTGATGCTTCCTACCATAGACTATTTTGTTGTAGCATTCATCAAATCCAAAGATATGTGTCAACGGAATGCAAAAAGTTATAGTGCCTTTTCTATTTTTCGTATATTTATTTATCTTGTATGTTATAATATCCTTAGTTTCTAAAATCCAGCCAAAAGTATTCTGCTTGTTCATAGTACTACTATAAGTCAAAAGACCTTTCATCAAACTAGCTCTACCAGGATCCATTATGTTTTCTACTTGAACACCATCCATACTATATGTTGCTCTATCAAACAAAAACATTGGTGCATTATTAGTTAAGGAGACTTCATCAGTTTCTGCTAAAGCAGCGTCATCTAATTTGGAAAGTTCTACTTCGAGGTAAATGTAAGACTTATGCAAGTGTAGATACTGATCACATGTCTCAATAACAAAATTAATTTCTCCATGTTGATTTAAACTAGAACCTGAAGAAGGAAAAACACTTATGAGATTCTCTTTTTGAATGGAAGTATCAGTCACAATAGGAGCATCAACTACGAGTATTTTATCGATAGCCTCTATCATTATTTCAATTTATAAAGGAAGAAAAGGAAATATTTTTTATGTTAATAAATGCGCAAACTTTTCAGTACTATAACGGTGATTTTCTTCTTGACATGGTTTCAAGAAACATTAAGTAAGCCTATTATTTGTACTGATAACTCTCCTGTCCAATATTTCAGAATCCCAAAACTACACAAGTGTAATTATCACAGAATACTCAGCAGTCAATCAGAAATTGTACAGTATGAGGTTTTCAACCCAACCATTATGGAATACATTTCTGAAGCAAAACTCTGTAAAAAGTTAGTTAGCGAAGTATCCATGTACACAGACTTTTCTGGCTACGAACATTTAGTAGAGAAAGAATTGAACAACTATCCCATAACACTTGCAGAATGTAGAGAAATGATAAACAGTAAAAAATGTGGGTTTGGATCTTTAACGAAAGGTAGTTCTAACACATGGAGCACCAATAACAAAATAGATGTAGATTATCCGAATAGATTCACTAGCTTCTTCACTCCGAAAAGATATTACAAAGAAAATTGTATTGTTATTGAAACAAAAGTTTACTCACATTATAATCAAACCAAGCCAACTAATATTATGGCTGAAATGAAAAATTGTAAGTATCAAGACGGTTTTTGTGAGATTAAGAAAAATGAAATCGTCACTTGGGATGTCAACAGAGAGCAAAAATGTCAATACATCTCGATTGGAATACTAGATGGAATGTATAGCAACAAACTTTGGGTTAACAATAAAAACCAAATTGCTCTCAACTTCCAATCAGATAAAACTATACAAGATTGCAATTCGAGTCTAATGATCAGCGATGAAGGCTTTGCTGTAAGAAGAATCAATAGAGCTGCAGCACAATATTCTCCGAGGCAAATTCCAGTATCTATTCCATCACACTCTCAAAGACAACAACTGGAGGAGGACAGAAGAAAACGTGAACAAGAGGAGCAAAGAAAGCAGCAAGAAGATAATAGAAGACGTGAACAAGAAGACAGTAGAAAACGTGAAGAACAATCGAGACGTGACCAAGAAGATGCTAGAAGACGCGATCAAGAAAGACAAAAACTGAATGAAGCAGATTTCGAAAAAAGGAAACAAGAAAAATTGAAGAGAGAAGAAGAAACGGAGAAAAAGAAGCAAGAAAAGATTAAAAAAGCTCAGGATGAAGCTGAAAGAAAACTAATACAACAACGGCAAGAAGAAGATTGGACTGTTCATGATGAGAAACCAAAAGATAATCGTCATCCACCAAAATCAAACAGAACCAAAAGAGAGATCACAGACCATCGAGCAATCTTCCAACCACTACCCCTACCAGATTACAATGAATACTTAAAAATAAAACAAGACTGTGACAATCTCCCAAGTTATGAAGCTTTCAAGAATAGCAGAGATGGATGTGATTCGCTCACAAGTTATACAAATTTCATCAACAGCATTGCAAACTATGAGAAAAATCAACAACACTTTAATTTATCTCAAACCTGGAGACCTCTACCATTCCCCGGCTACGAAGAATATTTGAGTATTAAAGAAGATTGCAACATTCTCCCGACTTACGAGGAATATAAAACAATCAGAGATAGCTGTCATGCATTTCCCAGTTATACAGACTTTATAAAAAGAATAGCAAAATATGAAATGTTCGAAACAGGTAAATTAAGAAGAAAAAGAGAATTATACTCTGACTTCCAAGCTGCAGGAGAATTTCAATATCTAGAAAACCAATCGAACAATCTAATACGACATACTACTGAAGTTATGTGTGATATCTTCAATGAACAGAATGAAGTTCTTGAAAGCCTTATCAGAGAAAATCCAAGAAGATATATCCAGAAACAGTTGAACCATACAGCTATCAAAGTTAAACTCATCGATTCTCAAGAACCAGTTGTTCAAGTTACTTTCTGCAAAGAAATTGATGAAGAAGAGATAGACTTTATAGACGTTACTCATTTCGATGGGCATAAATTAAGTCTTGCTCTCACACTCGGACAAATCCCAATTAAGATTAAAAGCCTTGGAGATAAAGTTTGGTATTATAAGAATGATTATTCAGGAGGTGTCATATCAAGCAAACCGCAGCTTCATCCCATGATTGATTTTAGAACTAACATTACTAATATGAGAAACTTCAAAGAGTTTGATTTGAAATTCCTAGATGATAAAGTAGTTTTTCATGAACACATCTTGTCAGACTTGTAGACCCACATTTGAGGAAGATCTCCTAGTAGAAATGCGAGATAATACTGATGCCTCTATTTAAAGTTTATGCTGATAACCAGGATTCTACTTTACCCCATGAAATATTAGATGACGTAGAAGGTTTCTTTGAAAAATGGTGGCTTAGAATTTGGAGAGTTGGTGTAACACTTGGCGTGGCTGTAGTGTACTTATTCGTAGGAAGATCAATTTGGATGATACTTTCACCAAAAACTTTCATTGATAGGAGAAATAATAGAAGAAGAAGGAGAGAATATGAAGCCGTAGAATTAAGACAAATGATACAACGTCCATCTATTCATTCTCTCACTGTCGATTAATTTTTACCTTATTAAATGAGATTCTTTAACACCCAAGAACAAAGTTCAACTTCTAGTTATGTTATTAATAGTCCAAAAGAAAACAATCAGATAAAATTAATAGAAAATGCAAACCCTCAAAAAGAATTTCCAAGCACAAAAAACGAGGAAACGGCTATTTCTAAGGAGTCTTTTCCCTCTAGAAAACCAAAAACCACAAACAAATCGAAGATATCTAAAGATAACAATAATTTTCTGAAGGCCCTTAAAAGTGGATCTGGTTTTAAGAGAATCTAAATAATGTGTAGCTCCATATGAATATCACAAGTTTTTGAATCAATAAGGTTATTCTTTTCATCTACAAGTCTAAATGTAAGAGTATTGCAATTATTGACAGCTTTGTGGTAGATCAAATTGATTGGCTCATAATTCACATTTTTGTCGTTATTATTGAATTTACAGATTATATTGCTTTGAGCTTCATTCAAAAACGAATCGCAGATAAGATTACAAGACAAATAAATCCAACTGTTCTTATTCCAATCTAATGTTCCTTCAACTTTTACTATGGCAATAGAGTTTACCTTGAAGTCATGTGGAAAATCAAATTGAAACGCTTTTTCGCTGGATTTTAGGTTTAAGAATAAGTGAACCATTTATTAAGTACTAAATTATGAAATCTGATTTCACTGATTATTCGATTCAAAACTATTATTCTAAAAGGAACAACAATCCTCTTCTTCCTAGTTCTTTAAGAGCTTGTATAATAGGAAAGTCTGGATGTGGCAAAACTAATCTTTTAATGAACTTATTATTAGATGAAACTGTGGAGAAGATTATTTAGATTATGATAACTTGTACATATTCTCTACCACTCTTTTCCAGCCATGCTATCAAGCACTTATCAACGGTTTTGCGAATGGTTTGAGTAAAAAAGAAATCAGAGAATGTTTTCGAACGCAAAATTTTATGGTTGACAAAAAAGAAAATAAGGAAATATCTATACACATTTCTGAAAACTGTGATGACATTCCAGATCCCAGCTCTATAGATCCAAATAGAAAAACGTTGATAATATTCGACGATTTAATGCTCGAAAAACAGAATAAAATAGAACAGTATTACACTCGAGGTAGACATAGCAACATTGATTGCTTTTACATTTCACACAATTATATAAAACTACCGAAAAATACTATTAGGTAGAACGCCAACTTTTTCATCGTTTTTTCTCAGGATAAAATGAATTTAGAATATATCTATCGGGATCACTGTGGTGAAGTGGATAAACCCACATTTTTAGAGATGGTTACAGAAATTTGGAAAGAAAAACATAACTTTTTTACTATTGATAAGACTAGCGACTCGGACAACGGAAAGTTTAGAAAGATGTTGAAGTACTTCTTTGTCCTCTGAACACATTTTAGACATGTTTTTCCTGGCGAACATATAAAAATCCGTTT